ACTTAAAAGAAATTTCAGTATGTAATTAACATAACTAGCACTGTTTGGGTATTGAGGGAAGGAGGAGGGCAATACAAATGATGATTCAAAACTCTGAAACTCTCAAACTGGGATAATATGAAATCCAGGAGGGTAGCTAAAAGGAAAGGGAAGTTTATTTTAGAAGATGGTGAATTTATGATACTGGAAAACCTTCCAGGAGATATTTTTGGGTTTTGGGGACCATTGAATAAATCTGGAAGTAACTAAAGCAAAGGGAAATATTAGCTGGGTGAGGGAGTAGGAAAGAAGAAAGAGAATAAATAATACCCACTCCTGTAAACAATCTTTACAGAAGAGAAAGAATTGATTGAGTAAACTAAATAAACTTACAAACCATGTAAATAATAAGATGAAAGTCATCATATTTTTCTGAGTGAAAACAAAAATCACTCAAATGCGAAGAAATTTCCCATTACCATGTTCAGTAAATTGTGTTCCAAAGCACTTCAGTCACATCGTGCCGTTACCAAGAGGCACTCTGTCAACATCTTTCTCAGCATCGTGATTTTTCAGGTTCACCTCCACCACCTTCTTACCTGCTTCCCTTCAAATTATCCTCCAAGTCTCAGCTTCCTTGTCCCATTCTTCCTTTCACTCCTGTGTTAATAAATGTCCTTGTTCACTTAGCAAATCTTTCTTGTATTTAGTGAGCATTTACTAAGTCCTAGGCACAGTGGTGGGTGCTATATGTTCAAGGATGAGAAAGCAGGCATGACTTCTGTCATCACAGGTCCTGAAGCCTAAATTGGTTCCCCTGCCACAACTGCCCCCATCCTCATCCAGTACCCTAGACGAGCTGTACTTTGGAGGCTACAGGGGAGAATCCTCTTACTTCCTTACCCTTTTCAGCTTCTAGAGGCCATCCACATCCCTCAGGTCATATCCTTTCCTCTATCTTCAAACCAGCAGTGTTGACATCTTCAAACTTCTCTCTGACCTCTTCTTGCATCACCACTTCTCCTTCTTTGCCTCTTCCCCTCCTGCTTTCCTGTGATAAGAACCCAAGTAACATTGGACTTCCCCCCACACAGGGTAATTCAGGATAATCTCATTCAGGATTCTTAATTTAATCAAGTCTGCACTATTCCTTTGACCATGTAAGGCAACATATCCCACAGGTTCTAGGGATTAAGCTATGGACATCGCTGGGGGTCATTTTTCTGTCTACAATACCAGGTCTATCCTGTACCTCCTGAGTGCTTTCTGTGTAACTTTCAGCCTTGGTAACACTTTAGATTACTAGTTCAACTGACTGGTTTCTCAGCTTACTTGTGAGTCTACTGAAAGTAAAGACCATCATCTCACTTGTCCATCATTCTACTTGTATTTCTTAGGACAGTGCTTAGAGTAAGCACACACCACATCTATATTAACCAATTGTTTGAATGAATGAATAAAACAGATAATTTACACAATCATGTGCATACATGTTTTCCAAAGATAGTGTTTTGGTTTGTCCTAAATATTTCTGATTCCTTATTTTCTTGAGATGTTAGAGATATAAATCTGTTTCTCAATAATTACTTGATATCAACAGAAAATGCCTTCTTTTAAAAAATTATGAGTGATTCACAAACTGCCAGAAACCCTTTGAAGTATAAAAAAAGCACCCCTAAATTATGCATCTATGAATACTTTTTAATTAAACAAGTTAATGAATATTCCACAGGAGAGAACTGACTTGCACAGTCTGGAGTTAATCACCCACCCACACCTGACGGTTAATTTCTTTCTTTAGTTTTCTTTGATTTTTGTAGATAAAGCCCATCATTTACCACATCCCCCATGAGTATATATTAGTTATCTCCTTTGCACATGCTCCAAGCTTACCTCATTTTGCTTAAGGCATATTAGCTGTTCATTCAGTTTTCTACAACAATATGAATTTTATTGCACTGATTGATTTACTGAGAAGCTTAGACCATAAGTATATATTAATAGTCATAAAATCAGCACAATGACAGAACTGAGAGGATACTATATAAAAGAAAACTTCACTTATTTTTGGAAAAATTTCAGAAATGCCCATTGTATTTAAATTTTCATTTGAGGGAATTGGTAGCTTTGCCATTAACAATGTCTTTTTTATTTACAAAAAAAAAAAAAAATGAACTGCTTCTCTTAAAAAAAAAACTTACTTAAATTATTATCCACAACTACATGGCACAATTCTTTTGTTTTATTTCTTTTGGACAGTCTGAAAATGTGCATACATTTTGATTAAAGGAACACAAAAGAGGAACCTCAGATGTAAAAATGAAGGACAAAGCAAGCACATTCTGAAACAAAAGAAAAATTTTTGTTTCACTATTGATTAAACCCAAACATTTTTAGTTAGCAATCTGTCATCACTTAAATTATGAAATAATTACAAGAAAATATAAAGAATGGCAAGTATAATTTATAAGTGAAATTAAATAGGATAGAAAAGAAAAAAAACACCTTCTTTCTTAAATAATTTTCTGTATCCTTTTACCACCATTTCCTAGTCATTTAGATTAGTGATCAATCTCTCTAAAGAATATGCATAGTTTTTTCACTGGATTATTAAGTTCAGATTGACAAGTAAAATTGCTTATGAACTAGTAGTGACTTTCTGAAACACTGAATTGATAGAAATTCTAGGGTATTCTTTGAACTGACTGGGAAAAAGTACCATGATTGATTAGCCATGTTTGGCTTGTTAAAGAATACGGGATGATAGAATGCATGTCATAAATTTAGTTGCAGATAATAATTTATGTACCTCCTTCATAAAAAGCAATTATAAATAAAATAGTTGTTATTTTTTTCTGGATTATATTAAGTGCATATATTGAATTATATTCAGTTTTACCATTGACAATTATGTTTTCTCATAAATGAAGAATAAGGCTTAAAGATCTCAAAGAATTCATAATTTAATTTGGGTGGATTAGATATTAATGATAACTTTTTCTACATAAATTTTTGAACTAAGAATTTTAGACTTAGCTTTTTTTGTATGTAGTTACTATAAAAGATTATAAGGAGATGGAAAAAAATACTTCATTAATTTTGTTATCAAATTGTATCATCACTGTCATTTTAAGATCTATTGCTAAATATGTCAGAGGTTTAAGTCATTTATTTAATCCAAGCTATTGAATTTTTTAAAAAATGACTGATTATTTTCCTTGTGTTTAGTAAGAGTAACTAGATTTACGTAATGATATGTTGGTAAATCCAAAAAACTCTTGGAGTGGAGAATATGGCCTAGGGTGGTGGAGAAGTGTGATTTGTTGCACTTGCCAGTTTCGGTGGTGTAAATATTTTCAAGCTACCACCATGCTGTCATTAAATGTGGAGCTTGGAAAGATTTGTACACAGTTGACATAATGAAAAGATGTCAAAATAGCTGGACTGAGTTGTCTTCTAAAAAATCATATACGTTTTATTTTCTAAAACAGATATATTCAGAAGTATTGCATAGAAACCCTTCAAATTTTGAACTCCATAGTACATTAGAAAATGATCAGTCTTACTAAAACTTTTTATATCTAACTTTATAAGGATATATCTAATCCATTATATATATTTTATGCATGTATACCATGTGGATTATTGAACTTTTGTAGGAAAGCTTATCGGATATTTAATTGTTAAAGATTCTTATACTCTGAAAATTCAACAAAATGTTTCCAAATTGGATAAAACATGTTTATGAATCATAAAAAATTTGCAAGGAAGTACATATCACAAACAAATAATGAGTCAAATGTCTCAGCAAATCTTTTAATATTTCTCTAGTAATTCTTCTTCTGTAACTCTAAATAAAATGGAATAAAAGTATCTCTAAACTAATTAGTGTAGTGACAACCTGTGTATGTGTGTTTGTGTGTGTCTGTTTGTGAGACTAGGAGATAAAAGGAATAAATACCAATCAACAGCCCGCTGTTTGTCCTTGCCTAGGATTCATATTTTTATTTTTCCTGTGATCTTAAACCCACTCTCCAACCTCTGATAATAGCAATGATATATCATATCTGAGGCTAAAAATAAGAGCCCTTCTGTAGTGGGGCCGGGTTCTATCTTTAGGCAAATAGTGAATGATAGTGATTACTACTGAGTGGTCAGTGGATGAGCTAAGTTGTGGTCACTTTTCATTTTGCTTGAAGTTCTAATTTACCATGTCGAGCCAAGCCTGAATCTGTACTTGCCCTCAGAGCTCCCTCATGGGAGGAAAAGGGGAACAGAAGGCACTGCTAGAGTAGCTGGCATGCGGGAGGTCCCCAGTAAATTCTTAAAAATATATTTTTTAAATTTATTTGGCTGCACTGGGTCTTAGTTGCAGCACATGGGATCTTAGATCTTTGTTGCAGCACATGGGATCTTTAGTTGTGGCATGTGAACTTTTGGTTGCAGCATGTGAACCCTTAGTTGCGGCATGTGGGGCTAGCTCCCTGGCCCGAGATCAAACCTGGGCCCCTGCATTGGGAGCATGGTTTCCTAGCCACTGGACCACCAGCATATTCCCCCCAGTAAATATTGATTGAGTGGGACAGGAAAATTTTGAGATCTCAAACTGTCATCAGTGTTTCATTAAAGTTGTTCATATGATTGGAAGGCTAACAACTCTGTATTGCTTCTACTTTTAGAATTAAATATGTCTTCAAGGCTACTTTTGCATGAAGCCTTCCCTGGTTGCTCCAGAGGGACATCTTATTGTAAATTTCCATTTCCTTTCATTTTTAATCGTATGCTATTTACCAATATTATCCTTGGCACTCAAGTTATGTAAAAATTACCTGAGATAATATTGGAATAATAAAAAATCAAAGTTCAAAAATAGTTAGTAGCCAACTGAAAATGTAAAATTAAAAGTGTTTGGAATTGGTTTCGTTAAACATTAGGCCACTGTTGATCTTCCCAATGTTCAACAAAACCAGTAGTGAAAATCTCTAAGAATTTTCTCTGATTCAACTCTATTCTTCTTACAGAAGAAGCTACCCAGCCCTGCTTGAGTCCAAAGTGTTCTTTAATCCTGGATTGCAGTGGATTGACCTTTTCCGACTATTCTGGAGTCTCCATGCTTGTTGAGGTATTTGTGAGGTTGTGTTTGGACTGATTCTTTCCCTTCTCTTTAGGAACAGTGTTTTCACGGACTCTTTCTAGCTATGAGGTCGTGACCCTGCTTATCTCAGTACTCATCTCACCCATTCTCCCCAAAGGACATAGACCTTATGCCTCCCACTACAGTAGATTTCTGCTCAGGAGATTTCATGAAGTCTCTAGCTGTGCGTGTATCAGGAGGGTGTAAGCGGAGTAGAGTAGGTACTCACGTGGCGCATGAGTTTTTACATCTTCGGTTAACTGCTGATTATTTTTGAACTCTGACTTTTGATTATCCCAATATCATCTCAGAATATGTATTTGAGATGTAGCGGGTGTACTCCATGCTGGAAAGTCGGCTCCCGGGCTTCTAGAAAGAAGGAGAAAAGCCCCCTCCATGAGCAAATGCCCTGAGTTGGCAGGATTTGGGCTTTCATATCATGGATGGGTCCAGTCTGACCTGAAACCATTCCTGGCCTGAGTTATTGGGAAACTGCCTCCCAGACAGGGACAGGTCGAGCTTTGGAAGCTCAGAGGAGAGCACAGCGACAGGTGTGTGCGAGGCAAACAGAGAGGGTTCAGCACAGAAATCGGCACCCACCGACGTTTCCCAGCCTGAGCCGCTCGACGGCACGGCCGCCCACCGTGGCGGGGGTCTGGGTGCTGAGGCGCAGGCTTCAGGGGTCTGAGCCCAGGACAGGACTGGGGCTGACTGCCGTGGAGACACTCTGAGCGGGCGCGTACGACACAGCTGAGGGAAAAGCCTGGGACTGCCAGAGGGGTGGCAGGCCATTGCCTCCACCTCGGCATGCTTACAGATGCTAGGACACCGCCTTGGTGAGCGCCCGCGGTGGGGCTGGCCGCAGCTGCGGTCTGCAACCCCAGCGGGATTTGGGCTGGCTGCTACAAAGGCTAACGTGAGTGCCAGAGCCAGGACTAGTCACGGCTCTGGTCTGCAGCCTCAGAGGTGGACACATTGGCCCGCCACCGGAAAGGCTGGCTTGAATGCCGGAGGCAGAACTAGTCACGGCTCTGGTCTGCAGTCTCAGAGGCCAGCTGCCGTCCGGGCCAGTGGGGGTGCCAGAGGCAGGGATGAGTAGTGCCGCAGGCCCAACCCCAGGGGTCACAGGTGCAGGAAGCTGCGAGCAGGCCCAAGTCGTAGCCCACAGCTTCCTGGAGCTTCTGCACCGTGGCGTTGCTGAGGTTCCCACGACCCAGGGCCAGTTCCTCTGGGAGGGTGCATGGCCTGCCTCAGGCTGAAGCAGCATTCCGAAGGCCTTTACCGCTCCAGGCCCTCCCCACACATTCCACGTGTGCCTGCCATATCCCTCCCTCCTCCCAGCCCAGCTGAGTGAGTGAGGTCCCATACGCCTCTGCTTCTGCCCCACCTTGTCTGGGTGGGAAACAGACACCAGAGCGCAGCCTGCAGAGACAGGGCAAAACCAACGTGAGCCGCAGAGGCTGTGTGACCAAGAGGAAGAGAATTGCCTCCTGCAGCCACAGGAGCAGCAGATTAAATCCCCACAGTTGGCTTGAAGGTGTGGAGTTTGGGGGGCAGTTGTGGACTTTGGAAGCAAGTACAAGTTGGAGTGTGGACAGCTTTGAGTCTGAGCTGACCCCACAATGCCCACAGCAGGTCTGGAGACCTTCCTAGAAATATTGGAGGTCTTTTTGATGAGGCACATTAGCTGGAACTCACTGTGTGGCAGGAAAACTGAGAACTGAGGCCACAGGAAAATAGTCTTACCACCTCTCTCTCTCTTTTCATTTTGTTCTGTTGTTCTTTTTTTTTATTATTACTTTAATACATATTTTTTACTTAATTTTTCCTTTTTTAAAGCTTTTATTTTTAAGTAAGTTTATTTTATTTTTTCCTATTTCTACACTAGTATTTTGTTCTGTTGTACTTTTTTCATGCTTTTGGTTCTGAATTTTTTCCAGACTAGTTTATTGTGTGTGTTTTCATTTATGAGTTTGCTTATTGCTTTGGTTGCTCTCTTCCTTTGTGGTTCCATTTTTTAAATTTTATTTTAGTTTTTTGTCTTATTTTCTTTTTTTGAGTATGAGTGTGTGAGTCTCAGTGTATGTTCTTATCTGTTCAGTGTTACTTTTATCATTTGTCTTGGGGATTTGTCCATTCATTTTTTGTTTGCATGTTTGTTTGTTTTCTATTTATTTCCTTTTCTCTCCTGTGCTGTGTGGCTTGTGGAGTCTTGTTGCTCCAGCCAGGGGTTGATTCTGAACCTCCAAGGTAGAAGGTCCAAGTTCAGGATGTTGGATCACCAGAGATCTCCTGACTCTGAAATATTAATTGGCAAGAGCTCTCCCAAAGGCCTCCATCTCAATGCTAACACTTGGCCCCACCTAAAGGCAGGCAAACTCCAGTACTAGATGCCTCATACCAAGCAATTAGCAAAATAGTAACACAAACCTACCCATTAGTAGGCAGGCTGCCCAAAGCCATACCAAGCTCATAAACACCCAAACACACCATTGGATGTGACAGTGCCTTTTAGAGGAACAAGATCCAGCTCCACTCACCAGAACACAGGCGTCTGTCCTCTTACCAGGAGACCCTCGCAAGGGGCTGGTCAAAACCCACCCACTGGGGCAGACTTCAAAATTAAGAGGAACTGCGGCCTTACAGCCGTCAGGAGAGAGGCCCCAAACACAATAAATGAAATGGAAAAGAAGCAAAACAAAACAGAGAAACATGCATCAGATGAAGGAACATGGTAAACACCCACAACACCAAACAAATGAAGATGAAATAGGGTGTCTACTAGAAAAAGAATTCAGAGTAATGATAGTAAAGATGAACCAAAATCTTGGCAATAAAATGGAGGCGTAGATAAATAGAATGGAGGCATGGATTGAGAAGATACATGAAGTGTTTAACAAGGACATGGGAGAAATAAAGAACAGACTATTAGCAATGAACAGTGCAATAAGAGAAATAAAAAATACACTAAAGGGAACCAATAGCATAATAACTGAGGCAGAAGAATGTTTAAATGAACTGGAAGATAGCATGGTAGACGCAGAGCAGAGCAAATAACTGAAGCAGAGAAGTATGAAGGAAAAAAATGAAAAGAGAAGAGCCCAGTCTCAGAGATATTTGGGAAAATATTAAGCACATCAGCATTCAAATTATAAGGATTCCAGAAAAACAAGAGAAAAAGAAAGTGTATGAGAAAATCCTGAAGGAGAGTATAGTCAAAACTTCCTCTAACATTAGAAAGGAGATAGTCACCCAAGTCCAGGAAATACAGAGCCCTACATAGGATAAACACAAAGAAACATGCCAAGACACATGTTAACCAAACTAGCAGAAATTAAACACAGAGAAAAAATACTACAAGAAGCAAGGGAAAAGTGACAAATAACATGCATGGGAATCCCCATAAGATTAACAGCTGACCTTTCAGCAGTAACTCTGCAGGCTGGAAGGGAGTGGCAGAATATACATACAGTGATAAAAGGGAAAATATGAGACCAAGATTACTCTACACAGCAAAAAGCTCATTCATATTCAACAGAGAAATCAAAGGCTTTACAGACAACAAAAGGTAAGAAAACACAGCAACACCAAACCAGCTTTATTTACAACAAACGCTAAAGGAACTTCTCTAGACAGGAAACACAAAAGAAAAGGCCTATAAAAACAAACCCAAAACAAAAAATAAATGGCAATAGGATCATACATGTCAATAATTACCTTAAATGTAAATGGATTAAGTGCTCAAATCAAAAGACACAGACTAGCTGAATGGATACAAAAGCAAGACCCCCTACCTATGTTGTCTATAAGTGACCCACTTCCCACATAGGGACACAAACAGAATGAAAGTGAGAGGCCGGAAAAGATTTTCGATGCAGATGGAAATTAAAAAAAAAAAAAGACTTTAACAACAGACAATGAAGGATCTTGGATTGATCAAGGGATAAATCCAAGAAGATGATATAATAATTATAAATATATATGCACCCAACATAGGAGCACTCCAATGCATAAAGCAAATGCTAACGGACATAAAAGGGGAAATCAACAGTAACACAAAAATAGTGGGAGACTTTAACACATCACTCATGCCAATGGACAGATCACCCAGACAGAATATTGAATAAGGAAACACAAGCCTTACATGACACTTTGGACCAGAAGGACCTAACTGATATCTAAAGGACATTCCATGCAAAAGTAGTAGAATTCACTTTTTTTCTGAAGTGCACAGGAAACATTCTCCAGGATAGATCAAATCTTGGGTCACAAATCAACCCTTCATAAATTTAAGAAAATTTAAATTACATCAAGCATTTTTTCCTTACCACAATGATATAAGATTAGATGTCAATTACAGGATAAGACTGAAAAACAAAAACCACTTGGAGGCTAAGCAATATGTCTCTAAATAACCAAGAGGTCACTGAAGAAATCCAAGAGGAAATCCAAAACAAACAACAAAATCACAACAACTCAAAACATATGGGAGGCAGTATGAGCAGTGTTAACGGGGAAATTTATGGAATACAAGTGTAAATCAGGAAATGAGAAAAATATCAAGTAAACAACCTAACCTTACACCTAAGGCAACTAGAAAAAGAAAGAAGAAGGAAAAAAAACCAAAGGTAGTAGAAGGAAAGAAATTATGAAGATCACTGTACTGTGTTTTAATCACTCGGTCATGTGATTGACTCTTTGTGAGTCAGCGTCCGACTCTTTGTGATGCCATGGACTATACCTCTCCAGACTCCTCTGTCCATGAAATTATCCAGGCAAGAATACCAAAGTGGGTTGCCATTCCCTTCTCTGGGGTATTTTCCCAAACCAGGGATTGAACCTGGGACTCCTGCACTGCAGGCAGATTCTTTACCGTCTTTTTATTTACTTCTGCTCAGATGAAGATCAGAGCAGAAGTAAATTTAAAAAACGAAGGAAACAATGCTGAATATTAATAAAAAACAGAAGCTGCTGCTTTGAGAAGATAA